TGTGTGTGTGTGTGTGTGAGAGAGAGAGAGAGAGAGAGAGAGAGAGCTGCAGCATGCAGCATGTCAGTGGCGGGGAGCACAAGGGCAGGCGCTGACCTCCAACAACAAGAAGTAATTTTATCGGAATACAAGAGGTTTTTCTTTTCAAAATCCGAATAGAAAGGGTACAGATTGTATTCGAATACAACGTGTAGGACCTGCACCGTTTCAATTTCGAAAAAGGACTACCCACACCTTTTCAATTTCTAAAAAGGACTGCAGCCTCCTCGGTCTCCTACTCGCAGCTACCGGTCCTACCCGTTCCTGGCCCTTGCAAGGCCCCCAAAACCTCAAATGCCCACCCTCCCGACGACCACCGACGTTGAAATTGATTGACGTTGAGCGTTGAATGTCTCAGGGGGGGAAAGCGCATCCCTGACGGGCTGCGAACAAAAAAAGGCTGCCGTTGAACGTGAATGTCTCAGGGGGGGAAAGCGCATCCCTGACGGGCTGCAAACAAAAAAAGGCTGCCGCTGATTTCCTGCCAAATCCACGATGCCTGACAGTCACACACCTTAAACACTAATCCACATACATCGATAGTGGGATCTCGCTCCTGGACCGAGGTCCCACTAGCGAAGGGGATTGGATTGAACGCCTGAATCTGGACGGGTTTGCACAAAGGTGCAGAATATCAAGCTTGAACTGCTTTTCTGCTTCTCTGCTTCAAACACGTCCAGATTCAGGAGCTTAATCCAATCCTCTTTGCTAGTTGGACCTCGGCCCTGGTTCTCCTCAGTTTAATATCTGATCGATGCATTGGACCACATAAAAAAGAAAATAAAAAAAAATAAAAAATGGGGAAGGTATCACCGCAGCTTCCTCCCCCCTCCCCGAAACAAGAAAAGAAGTTTAAAACGGGTAAACAAAAATATACCATGTCAAAAAAATAAAAACCCATGTCTGGACTACCGTCTTCCCCCGAACATAGCGCACCCTGATAATGAATGTATACAAGCTATATTTCCGGCCAGGTACAGGCAAAATGAGGGTGCGTTGTGTTCGGGGGAAGTCAGTAGTGCAGTTCACATTTGCAAGGGTTTACAAAATACATAGTGTTGTACTTCAGTGAAGACGGTAGAGCGTATTCATCCTATTGCGCATTTCTGTCTCTTACATGGCAGATTGCCAAACTACGTAAAATAGCACCAGACAAGCGAGCCAACGAAAGACCATATTCGCTGCAAGGTTCACGATTCCTACGCACGGAATGACAACGACAATTTTGCCGCTTCAAAGGGTTCTGGCAGATGTTAACAAACAGAACCACCTTCGAAACCGACTCGAGAGCACATTAAAACTGGTCCAAAAAAAAAAAAAAAAAAAAAAAAACCTGGCCCAAATCGATGTCGAGCTCGAACCGCATCGAGTTCCTCCACCCATCAGGCATCTCACTTCTCCCTACTTCTCCCCCCCCCTCCACTCAACTCCCCGCCGCACCTTCCCCCCCCCCCACCCTCGCCCGCCAAATATCTATCAGTCCCTCGATTGTTCGTTAGCCCGTCCGTCCTTCCCTCTGTCTTATTTATCCATTTATCTGTCTCATCATCCAATATGCTCTCTCTCTCTCTCTCTCTCTCCACACACCTACCAGTCCAAGCCCTCAGTATCGCCCAGTCTAAAACTCCCACTTTCTTGATCAATGAAACCATCTACTTCTGTCATTTCAATCCATCTAGTCTGATCTTATGGATCTATTTGCGTACACATTGACGCCCGTGCATGTATGAAATCTATTCACCTCCGTGTACACATCTACGCGTCTAATTGCGCCTCTGCATGGCCCACTATCACTTAACCACCAGCACTTAGGCGCCCTCGCTATATTTACGCAACTACATATCGCAAATCTGCCCACTCCGTTATATTTATGCTTACTACGTAATCACGAACCTGCCCATTTTTCCGACCAGCTCCACACTTTGTCCGCTACAATAGCATCAATTTTGCCTCGCCGGAGCTCTTCCCGCCATCGCCTGCACTTCCACTCCCCTCGCTCCTCTCTCCTCTTTTTCCCAGAACACTGAAAGCTGTCCTGATTTTTCGCAGTTCCCTAAAATCACCCCAATACATGATCTCTCTCTCTCTCTCTCTCTCTCTCTCTCTCTCTCTCACAATCTCTCTCTCTCTCTCTCTCCCCATACATATATATATATATATATACTCCTCCCTACCTCCCCTCTTTCCCCCCCGCCCGCTTTGTTTCTCTGCCACGCAGATGGCCGCATGAGCAGAACTCCCACCCCTTAAAATTCTCAATTCTCGGTTGACAGAAGCAATTAGAGAAATGAAACGCGCTAGCGAAGATTCTCCAATCCGAGGGCTAAAGGGCCCTGGAGAAGAAAACCACTCAAACGGTGAGTAATTAGGACACGTTCGAAATTCTCAACTGATAGCTTGGGAGTCATGACCCAATAAACACAAATGAATTTCATACACAATATTCGATGGCCCACTTTTGGCGTTCTTTTTATTCCAACATGGAGGCTCGCAAGAGTCAGCTGCGGAGGAGCCTCTACCAGGCTGAAAAGCAACCGACTGCAATCAATAAATTTCTCTTCGCTTTATCCGGCGCGAAGCGCCCTTGTTGAAAAAGAGTTGCTGAGTGAGTAAACCAACAGTAGGATTAGACGAGGAACAACACATTCAAGACATATAAAAGTAGATTGCGAATAACAGATACGAGAGAGAGGTCTTTTTTTTTCATTAAAAATAACTAAGCGTTAGCAAACTAAACAATTCTTTCACAAAAAGACATCGAGTTAACCAAACAATTATTTCACAAAAAGACATCGAATCAACTCGAACAAACGAAGCGCGCACATGTTGCACAAGTGCACAAATACAACAAGCGACTCAAGGAAAGAGATCAAAACAATACAGCCCCAATAACATGGGCATTATTTCGTTAATCAGAGTCATCATTATCCAAACACCAGATCCTAAACTAAACCCTCCACTTGTGAATCCATAAAAAAGAAGATGCACAATCCCCAAATACAAAAAAGGGTACGTGAGAATGTGCGCGGTTGCCGACCCAGATTTTGTCCTCCTCTCCTCCTCTCCTCCTCTCCTTTTCTCCTCCTCTCCTCCTCTCCTCCTCATCCTCCCCTCCTTCCCTCGTATCCACGTCTTCCTAGAAATCCAACCTTCGAGAACCTCATCTCATCTCCCCATTGCCATCAGCAGAAAAACTTACCAGACATGGAAGTTTCACGACAGGTGGCACGAAGTTTCATGGTGAGTTCCATGGGCCAAACCCCATTTCCACCCATCCAAAAACTTATGCCAGGTTGATAGAGACAACTCGTTGTTTCCTTCCCTCCCTCCGTTATTCCCTGGTGGTCTTCATCACGGACAAAAATAAAACCTATCGGACAGCGAACAATTAACACTATAACTACTAATCAATATGAACCCCGCCGCTTGCTAATTACAAACGTGGATCGCAATTATCCCACGGCTTTACGAGCTGGGACCTGAATTTAGACCTCACCAGCCCCCCGTATAACGCTCCCGACCCCTCTCCAGCGCTGTCGAGCGGAACGTCGCATCACTCTACTGCAACAGGCGCTCTGTAAATCGCCGGCTGCAATGTTAGTAGATCGACTGAACCGTTAGCAGATCGTCTTCACCGTTAAGAGAGCTTGATGGCCAACGAACGACGTCATACAATCCAACAGAACAGCAGGCCGAGCAAAGCATATCCTCAAGCCACAGCACGCTTCGCCTCCCCGCTCCTCTGGCAAACCCTCTTCGCCGCCCGCATTATGTCTTCCACCTGCGGAATTGCCGCTCTCTCCAGATTGGCAGCATATGGCATGGGGACGTCGGCACCAGTGATCCTCTCAACTGGAGCATCGAGGAAATCCATGCTCTCTTCCACCACAGACGCGCAAATCTCTGCGCCAATCCCATTTTGCGGCCATCCCTCCTCCACCGTCAGAAGACGAGACGTCTTCCGTACAGACTTGTTGATCGTATCTCTATCCAGCGGCCTGATCGATCGCAGGTTAATGACCTCTACGCTGATGCCCTGCTTTGCCAGCTCCTCCGCAGCCTTCAGCGAAAAGCCGACCATTTTTGAGAAGGCAGTAATAGTCAAATCTGTCCCTTCCCGCTCAATCTTGGCCTTACCAATCGGGACGACGAAGTTGGAGTCGAGCGCCTCCTCGGAAACAGGGAACGCCTCGCCGTACAGCAATTCATTCTCCAGCACAACGACGGGATCGGGATCCCTGATGGCGGCCTTCATCAGACCCCTGGCATCCTCCGACGAGTACGGGGAGACCACCTTCAGACCTGGGACAGAGGAGTACCACGCGGCGAAACACTGTGAATGCTGCGCGCCGACACCTGCTGCGGGACCATTGGGCCCTCGGAACACAAGTGGGACCGTCAATTGCCCTCCAGACATGTAGTGAGACTTGGCGGCTGAGTTGATGATATGATCAATCGCCTGCATGGAGAAATTGAAGGTCATGAATTCCACGATCGGTTTCAGTCCGTACATTGCCGCGCCTACGCCGAGGCCAGTGAACCCAGCCTCAGTAATTGGAGTATCAAGGACGCGTTCGGGCCCATACTTCTGCAGCAACCCCTTCGTTACCTTGTATGCGCCCTGGTACTCCGCTACCTCTTCTCCCATAATGAACACTTTGTTATCCGCTGCCATCTCCTCGTCGATGGCCGAGTTCAACGCATCTCGGACGGTCATCTGCTTGGCCGGGGTGCTGAACATCCGCACTCCACCCCATGAAACGGCAGGGAAGCGAGAGGAGCACAAATCCGCCGCCGCTGCTCCCCTGACATACTGCCCTACACGTGGCAGCAGTTGACTGGTCGACGATGACGACGAAGCCCCGCCCCGCCATTTCCCGCCAGCATGGCGGGCAACGGCGCCTCGCGCAGCAACCAGCGTAGCTCGGAGAGCCCCTTGCATGGTGACTGTATCTCAAGAACGAGCGCGAAAACGAAACTCGGGCGAGGGCGAGAGCGAGGGCGAGGGCGAGGGCGAGAGCGAGGGCGAGGGCGAGGGCAAATCCCCACCCCGCCGCTCAACGCCGCCCCTACTAGACGAATCGCGAAACTGCACGACAGATGTGTGGGTGCCAAATTGGTTGGGGAAAAGAGTGCGTGCACGGGCCCCAAAAAAACTCGCTGCGCATACACCCTTGCGACTAACCGTCAATGGACGGTGATACTTGTTCCCTTTTTTTATGCTACCGGCCTAGTGCTACAGCAAAAGGAACGAAAAGTCGGTTTGCGCGGGTGCCACTTATAACCCAAATCTGGGCGCCAAGCGTCATGTGGCGAATACTTGTTCCCAAATCTGGGCGTGGAGAGTCGTATGGCAGTTGGTATTCGCCGGAGGGAGTTGCCTTCGAATAGTGTTGTCATGCGAGCCGTAATGCTGGGTGTGTTGCTTGGAACTTCTCCTGCAAGACAAAAGCCAAAGGCGTAACCAAGCAGCACATGTCAGAATCAAAACAATCATCACTTCGGATTTCACCAAACAGATTGATCGAACCTAACTGAAGTAGTTCCATTACCCAAAAAAAAAAAAAAAAAAAAAAAAAAAAAGACAGCGAAAGATGCTCCGCTCGGCGTCATGCCTTGACATTGATGACGGTCAGAACAACCTTGTTAATAAGCAAGGACAACCATTGTCAATCTTGACCCTCCAGTGAGCGAAAGGTCAATCAGAACATTCAAAACAAAATTTTATTCTGTTGTTTCTTTTGGCCTTACAAACCATTGTCATTCTCGACCCTTCGTTGATTATTCTGTTTATTCTGTTCTTTTTTAACACAGCTCCTAATTAAGATCTTCAGACCGCGTCTATCCAGGCCGTCAATCCGGTAGGACCAAGGGGCCCAGATCAGAGATTTATTACATTCGTCCGTCGATTAGGGCCGTAGGCAGGTAGGACCAAAGACGGTCAGGATCTAAGGTTTGTCACGTTAGCAATTTTAGTAGTGTAGGGAGGGAAATGGACAGCGTGGTCTCCCTCTCTCCCCTACACCGTGAACTGTTGTAGTGCAGACCCAAGTTCAAATCCAGTTGAAGGACAACAATCCTGAATTACTTGGGGCCAGTGAGTTCAGCGATGATATCCCAAGGCTCTCGCCGTTCCAAAAAAATAGAAAAAATAGAAAAAAAAAATCGACGTTCCATCTCCCTTATAACTTATAAGACACAGGACTTTATTGAGAAAAGAACTAACAAACAACAAAAGCGTTGTTCCCAAAACTTTTTTTTTATTTTTGGGAACATTTCTCGATTTATGCACACGTGTCATCCTTGACTGCGCAGGGATCATGCTATCCTTCCATTGCACTTCTTTCCCCCGCACCTCTCCTCCCCGGCAGTGCACAATTTCCCCTGGCGCCGGCTTCCAGATCTCAACTCTTCCCAATCGCGCCACTTCTTCCCCGCGCCCCTTTCCTCCCTCCTTGGTTCCGATTTCCCTCCCATCGTCCAATCCATCCTCACCTGATCGGCTGTCTCCATTCCCCCCCCAGCTAGCAACCATCGCTCTTCCCCCTTACATTCTTCCCCTGCGCGTCTACACGTGTGTTTGCGCAGACGTGCGCACCTCTCTCTCTCTCTCTCTCTCTTTCTCTCTCTCTCTCTCTCTCTCTCTCTCTCTCTCTCTCTCTCTCTCTCTC